GATGGTATTATTGCTGAAAATCAGAGTGCATTTATCCCTGATAGATCCATTGTTGATAATATAATAGTTGCTTTTGAAATCTATCATTTCTAGAAGCGTAGGACGCAGGGCAGGGAGCTTAGGGATATGTGGCACTCAAATTAGACATGAGTAAGGCATAAGACAGAGTGGGGTGGGGTTTTTTAAGGCATATTATTGAATGTTTTGGAGCTGAGGGATATGTGGCAAATGGTCTCAGGCACGGTTACGTACAAAGGAGCAAGAGGGGTCACTTCAGGGGGGGATTCGTGTGGCCCGGGGAGGCGTCGTCAGTGTCTCGTCTTTTATTTGTTGATGATAGTTTTTTCAGAGCTAATGAAAGAATTGTTTTGTCGTGAAAGAGATTTTAGGCATTTTTAGCACACTATGCAGAGGCTTCTTGTCTCGTGATAAATTTTGATAAATCTAGTGTGCGCTTTAGTGCAAGCAAGGATTGAGATGAGAAGGGTTACTTGAGCATCATTTTCGGGGTCCACGGGGAGAGAGGAGGGGGTAAATATCTGAGATTATCCTCGTTGGTTGGATGATAAAAAAAAAAGAGATTTTTAGTTATATAAAAGAAATTGTCTGACGGATTCAAAGTTGGAATAACATGTTTTTATCAAAATGGGGGAGGGAGGTTTTGCTCAAAATGGTGGTGCAGGTTATGCCTTAGTACACGATGAATGTCTTTTTATTACATTTATATTTATGTATTGACATTGAACGGACCATGAATGACTTCTGGTGGAGGGATCACACCTTTAAAGGAAAAGGCATCAGGTGGAAAACTTAGAGTGATTTATGTCTCCTAAAATCACAGGGCATATGGGGTTTAGAAAACTCTGAGATTTTAATATTGTTGTGCTTGGTAAGCAAGTATGGCGGCTCTTGAAGAATCCTAATTCTTTGGTTGCTAGTTTGTTGAAAGCAAAATATTTTTCCCATGGTGATATCCTGGATGCAAAAGTGGGTAATAATCCTTCTATGATTTGGAGGAGCATAACAGCAGCGATTTCGGCTATACGTGAGGGGCTGTGTTTCAGTAGTGGGAACGATGAATCTGTGAGGGTATAGAAGGATAATTGGCTTATAACACTAGAAGCAGACCGATCGGCCATGCATGAGGTAGGCGGGCTGGGACATATTCGAGTTGATTCACTTATGTCGATATAGGGGAATGGTTGAGATGACGATATACTGGAGGATCTTTTTAGTAGTGAGGATAGAGCCTTGGTCACTAGTATACTGATACGAGCCAGACAGAGAAAGGATGAATTAAAATGGGTGGATGAGCCAAAAGGAGTTTACACGGTGCATAATTGTTATAAGAGACTCACCTGGAGCATTGCACCAGAGGTATGCTACGCCAAGATGTGGAAGGTACCGCTACCACTGAAAGTAAAAGTCTTCTTTTGGCAGGCTTACGTGGACTGCCGAGTTCTGGTGTGGCCGATATGTGTTGTGTGCGGAAAAGAGGAAGAAAAGTCCCCACATATTCTACGTGATTATGCACTAGCGAAGTCTGTTTGGCGCGATAGGTGGGAAATTTTTGCGATCAGCGGCAACCAGCTTTGGATAATGGGCTGCCAAGATAGCTAACAGTAGTTCGAAGAACGAGCTTTGCACTTTTATCATCGCGAGTTGGTGTTTATGGAAGGTTCGGGATGAGAAGACTTGAAAGAATAAAACTCCAAACTGAAAGGGAGTCATTGTGTGTGGGGATACGGTTCTCTCTGGTTAGCAGGAGGCGAACCAATAGGCGATAAAAGGAAAAGCTCTAGGTTGACAAAGACATAGCAATGAACCACATGTTGAAGGCCATATAAAATTAATGTTGATGTTGTTGTAAAAAATGAAGGGGGTGGAAGGGGCTTGGGGTTGGTTGCTCGAGGTCATAAAGGGGATTTTATTGCAGGGAAAAGTGTGAGAAGACGAGGACGATTCTCCCACGGGATGACAGAAGCTATGGCCATCGAGGAAGTGGTTCGCTAAGCACTGGAAGTGGGTTGGCAGCGGGTTGAAGTGTAATCGGACGCTCAACAAGTTTTTCAGGGCATCTACCGGACGAATGGCTTACATTATAATGATATTATTTTTCAGGATATTTGACAAGTGATGACATATTTCGTCAGTATAAGTGTCCAGTTTGTGCATCATACAGTGCACCAGGCTACCCATATTCTTGCTAGGGAAGCCTGTTCTAGGTCTGTCGGTGTTTGGATGGATCATCCTCCCGCTTGTATTAACCATGCATGTTCTTCGGTGTATTGAGTAATGAAATTGTTATTGGTTTTCAAAAAAAGATCAAACCCTCTCCATGAAGTAACTTCACTGTCCGAATTACAAACTGATTTATTTGCTTTGAAATTAGACAAGCCCTTACAAAAAACATGGAAAAAATGATTGGAATATATAATTAGTTTTTTTTTGGAAGAAGGTGGCTTATATTAATAAGAATGAACATAAGCAGGTTACAAACAGACAAAGAACATCATGTCTACCATCTGTCCTTGAACCAGACTTAGAATCTGCCACCTCAAAAGAAGCAACTAGATTCGCTGATCCCGAATTGGGCATACCTGAGCCAATGAATCGCAAACTAGGCTCCTCATCACCTGTCCTAAGTTCTATAGTTCTTTTGTCGGAAAAACACGGCACAATCAAAACAGAGTAAAGATCCAATTTAAAACGAAACATGAAGAAAACTAAACAAGCAAAATAAGTTTCTTGAACCCTAGCACCTTGTTCAACCCCAGGCGGTGGTTCAAGAGGAGGCCGGTCCATCGCTATGATTGTTGACACACCAAAGCGATTTTCCATCGACTCGGCCGCCTCTTCTTCTTCATCATCGATCACCCATGTCCCGATTCTTTCCGCCGTGGACTGCTAGCCTTCGTCCTCTTGGAAACCTCCAGCCGAGTGTGAGAGTATGCCGCCCCACGTTAGTCCTCCCCACTGCATCATATCCCAGCCTCGACGGTCCCCTCTGCACCGTCATCTCACTGCTTCCCTCTCGATCTTCCTGCTTCCCTCTCAATTCGCACCAGAACGGCGGAAGATGCAAACCCTACTCAGAGGATACAACCGTTTTTGTTGCGTGATTCTGGAATATATAAATAATTGTGAATGCAATTTATAATTAAAAAAACTGCCCTTTAAAATCCGACAACAAAGTACTACTTCCATCCTTTAAAACTTTGCCAATTCATAATTTGAAACATGATTTTGATTAGTAGAATATTATGAAAGTTGGGAGAAGTGTCAAATAATCCCCCTACTACTACGAAAATGTCAATTAAGGCCGCCAACTCAAATATCATCCAATTAAGCATGTGAACATGTAAAAATGTTCAAATCTTTTTTTTAATAGGTAATCAACCAGTCATCATGTAAACAATGACACGTGGCACTTATTTTCTTTTTCCTTCTTTTTTCTTTTTCTTTTTCTTTCTTCTTTCTTTTTTCTTTGTTGGCTAATGTGGTAAAGAGCGTCTATATTTCGGCTGTGGCCAGAGTGATTTCAGATAAACTCATTCATGCCAATTAACAAACTCTTCTAAGGTTATGTTTAGGAGTGTGAAGGGGAGGAGAAAGTTTTGAAGGTTAATCTTCGGAAGGGAAGTGGAGGGAAAGGGAAAGAAACCCTCTTTGTTTGAGCGTAAAGAATTTGAAAAGATATAAATTACGAATGATATATAATTAAAAGCAATTCAGATATATGATGAATTCAAGTAGTTGAATTTACGTTCATTTAAAATTGAGCTAAAGTTGTCATTTAATTAGTTATCTCTTAAAACCTGTGTTGTAAGAACCGGACCGGACCGGACCGGCCGGTTCGACCCGGAAACCGGTCACCCGGCCGTGGAACCGGTCCGATTGAGTGCTGAACCGCTAACATGGATAAAACCGGATTTAACCGGTGGACCGGCAGAGCCGGGGACGGACCCGGACCGTCACAAACCCGGGAAAACCGGACGAACCGCATGTTGAAATTACTTTTCATTTGAAAACATTTAAAAATTGGCATAGAGGGGATTCGAACCCCGTGCCTACTAAACCTCCCAGCCGTGTAACCAACTGGACTACTTGTCCGATGTGTAGAAACTTTCATTTTAGATTTTTATATTATACTTGCTTAGCAGTTTTAGATCAATTGATAACCTATTTTATTTGCTATTACTATTAGAATACTACCTTTACTACGTACATAAACTAAACTATGCGAATTTATGAAAACCTATCAATCATACTTGTAATTGTTTATATAAATATTAGATTTCAATATTTTGATCATTTTCCATATAATTCCAAACACATTTAATTTTGTGAGGTGTTTTATATATTGATACATAATTTTTAATTTAATCTTATAACCAATTGTAAATTTGAATGAGAGTAATTTTTCACCATACAACTTTTTTTCAAAGTTTTTACCATACAACTTTATTCGAATATATAATTAAATATATTATATATTTAATTTGTCAATAAACGTTGACCGGGTTGACCCGGCGTTGACCGGGCTGACCCTCCCGGGTCCGGGTTGACCCGTGACCCAGTCGACTGTCCGGGTCGCCTCCCGGTCCGGTTTTTACAACATAGCTTAAAACCCCCCCTAATTCAAGAGAATTTGAAAATTGACCATTTAAAGGGTTTGGAAGATTACATATTTTCGAATTGAGAAGGTTGTTGCCAAGATTCTACGCTAGCCAGAAGAGAGTGAGAATTTAGGATGTTTTCTGTCTCAGGTCAAATCAGACTTGGACAGTTATAAAATACACAGAAACTAAACTATTACCAGACCAGAACATATCAGTTCCGACCACATCAGGTCAAATCAAATTTAAATAGACCAGATCAGACCAAACCAACAAATGAACAAATTACAGTCCAGAAGAAAACATTGGTAGGCCTTAGGACTTGGTCAAATGGATCAGACGTACTTGTAATGGGCCAATAGTTTTTTATACGGAGGCCCGGTTACGCTGGATCCGTCTAGCTGCAGAGTACTCTCCGTGTAATCATCCCCAGGTACACGGCGCACAGGAAATTCCGTGGGCATCACTACCGGCGTGTTGTGATCGGAATATCTCACGATCGTTGACTTCCCGTCGTTGAACCAGCCAATCACGTTCACTATTATTTCGAATCCACAAGCTAAGCAAAGGCTGGATCCTCACCCCTCCTATCAGCTCCGCGCAGGCGTAGTCTATGTCTCTCTGCTTTTTCCTGAAGGATTCTTCAGTGGATCCCTTCTTCTCCGGTTGCTCTCCTTTAAAGAACAAATTTTTAAATGCAATTTTTTTTTCTTTCAATGTTAATGGTATCTGCTGGTTTCGCTTGCTGTATTATGAAGCATTGGCTTTTGACCATATTTCTGGATGCTTGTAAGGGGATCTTATGTGCGATTAATTACTGTGATATTTTTGTTTTGTTTCTCACTTTGCTCATAGTTTTACCTTATTACGGATTCTTGTTGTTCATCCCTTTTTAATGTCTTCTTCTTCAGGAGTAATAAGGCCTTCAGGGCTAAATATTATAGTTTTTCTGTTGATGTTTTTCTTTAAGTTGAATTTATTACGGAGTACCATTTGTGCATAAATTGAAATTCGGTTTACCATTTTCTCAACTCCTTCCCAAAATATTCTTCTTGCTTACCATTTTGAAATGTCTCAAAAAAAAAAAAAATCACATTTCCCTTTTTTTTATTTTGTGTGGCTAACATTCACTTACCATCTCCCCATATATAGCCGGTGTAAAGTTTCCAAATATGCCAACATATAATCCCATGAAGTTTATGTTTAAAAAGATCAACCATCATCTTAGATCCCGCTTCAATCCACCAAGAAATGATTTTTTTAACTGAGCAGTAGTAATTAGGAATCAAGAGTACAATGATAAAACAAATGATTCATTGTATCCGAGTGACATTTTCATAAAGGGCGTATAGATGGTTGAAGCACCATACTAATTTGCTGAGCTTATCTGTGATAGCGAGATAGCCTTTAAGAATTTTCAATTGAAACAATTTTATCTGCAAATGTTGCTTCTTATTCCAAGCATGTTGGAATGAAAAAGTAGGGCCATCAAAATCTTTTATCTCATTATAAGCAGAAGCTAATGTAAACTGACCATCTTTTTCAGGTTTCCAAATATGATCAGGGCATGTAGAATATAAAGCAGTGGCTCCGTGTCATGAAAACGACAAATTCTTTTCCAAACTGGGGAATTAGTGATCCTGGGAGTCATATTACTGCCCCTAGGATATCTAGCATGAACAAAGGAAGTCCACAAAGAGGTATTAGTCTTCCATTTCCACCAAGGTTTTAACGTAAAAGCTTTTTCGATATTTGTCAGAGATCGAATTCCCAAACCACCCTCTTCAACAGGAAAGCATAGTTTCTCCCATCTAGACCAGTGAACCTTTTGTTAGTCATTAGAAGAGCCCCAAATGAGGGCTTCCATTTTACTGTCCAAAATGTGCACCACTTTGATGGGTAAAGTATCTGTATCAATTGGAATAGGATACGATTCCTATTGTGCTACTCAGTGAAATTGAACAATCTTAAAGAGATTTTCTTATTAATCCTATAGTTGAAGAAAGTAGGACTCCCACTGTACCAGCACCTGATTAATGATACTTTATATGAACCCCTTTTGGGATCCTAGGTTTGATGATATATATCTAGGAAGTTGGAAGTTTAAAATATGTTATGTTAGACATGATACAAAGATAAATAATTTAAAAGGCAGTCTTTTCATTAACATGCTACATAATTTCATACCATTTGAAGATGGAGCCTTTTGATTTGTTTTTTAGTGTGCTGGTTTGAAACTGAAACAAATTGTCTAAATACAGTGGATTTCGAGATTGATGGTGATTTGAATGGTGAGGTGCTGGTGGGAAGCTCTGCTATAGATGTTGAAAATTCAATTGTAGCATTTCAGGAGCAACCTGATGCTAAAAGCAACAATGACCTTCCTGGAAGGGATGTAATAGTTTCAATAGAAGAAGAAAATGAAGAAGGACAAGAGGCAGATACTACTGTGAGTAATAATTCAGTTGCAGATGAGCCTTATGTGGGTCAAGAGTTTGAATCGGAAGCAGCTGCACATGCTTTTTACAATGCGTACGCAACTAGAGTGGGTTTCATTATTCGTGTCAGCAAGCTCTCTCGGTCTAGAAAAGATGGTTCTGCCATTGGTCGAGCACTTGTTTGCAACAAAGAGGGCTTCAGGATGGCGGATAGGCGGGAAAAGGTTGTGAGGCAAAGAGCAGAAACAAGGGTTGGGTGCAGGGCTATGATTTTAGTTAGAAAAGATATCTCTGGCAAATGGCTTGTGACCAAATTTGTGAAGGAACACACTCATTCTTTAGCTCCTGGCAAAGGTCGTAGAGAGTCAATCTATGACCAATTTCCGGTTAGTTAGTTCGTGCTCCTTTATACATTAACTCTATTTTTCTGTGTGTGTGTGTGGTAGATACTGCATTAGTGGGTTTTCTGGTAATTGTTACTTAAGTTCGAAAACTATGTTGACAATCAAGCATGCTTGTTTACTTTATCTTTTGCTGGGCTTAAATAATTAAATGCATGATTGTTATATTTGAATAAAGATCATAATGTCAAGCAATCCACCCATGGGAAAACACCTATGTATAAGGAAAAAGATGCACAATTAGTTGGAGTGGTGCAACAAAGAATGAAACCATATGATAGAATAGATGGTTTTTCAATGCATGATACTTGATACCTCGAAAATCTCTATGGTCTTTGATGTAAATATCTTGGATTATTTACGGGCTCTACCTCACAGAAATGTTTTCAATTCCTATGAAATGGGATATAGATATTTGTATTTTACAGCAGGATTATTATTGCTAGCACAATATCATGTTGATATCGTGGTAGGTCTTGGCTGCCAGATGACAACTTTGAAACTGCTATTTGGGAAGTAGGTATTTGAAGGTTGGTAGACAGCCTTGAGATTTTTGAAAATTATAAAAGAAACTCTTTCACCAGTCATATTTCCCACTAACACTCAAAGATGATAGGATATATAAATGATATTAGTAGGAATTCAGTTTTTTCAGACTAAAATGGTATCATAATTTGTTCCTCAGATTCTTTTGTGGAGGAAATGTTAAATTTTTAGCTGATAAAATGCTTTAAAAGATTAAATTCACTCTCTTATTGATATTGTTCTATTTTATAATCTTTTGGTGTTAACTGGGAAGTTTAAAGAAAAAAACTGTTGGAGTTAGGTTTAATTTTCATGTAATAATTTTAAGAACTCGATGATCATTTGGTAATTTTACTAAACCCTTTTCGGGAGTCAGGTTTAATCAACCGTAGATGCTGTCATACCATATGCTGGTCTAGTACTCAAGTCCAACACCCATTTTCCAGGACAAACTCCAGTAAAGTCATAAAAATATGGGATTTTGAAACCCACTCTCTCCATTCAGATGCATTCCATCTTGTACTGAATATTAGCTTGCCTGGCATTTGTTATACTTGTTTTTTAAGTCTAGTAGTACTATCCAATGATACTGTTTGTTGGTTTTACTTGTGTAGAATGAACATGATAAAATCAGGGAACTTTCTCAACAACTGGCAGCCGAAAAGAAGCGGTCAGCAACTTACAAAAGACACCTAGAAATGTTATTTGAGCATATTGAGGAGCACAACCAATCCCTATCAAAGAGAATTCAAGATATCGTGGCCAATGTAAGGGAGGTGGAGAGTAGAGACCAGCAGGATCATAGATAGCTAGGCATTATCCTGCCAACACTTGTTTGGTTGTCCGAATAGGGAAAGAAGTGATCTCAAGAATGCTCTTCAGGTGAAGCAAACATCACAACTGTAGTGTCTTTTTGGTATAAACTGTTTTTTTATATATTTATTCGGTATATGATTTAGAAAGAGAATCAAATGCTAAGCTCCTGTAATGTCCCATTCTGTTTCATCATGTATGTAAAAGAAATCCGTGTAGTGTAGCAATCAAATTTCATAGAAACAGGCTACCGATATTTAATGAAATTTGGATCTCTAATGAGAATGGAATCTTTAATCTCTCACATAAATTTTTATATTTGATGCCCTTGATGTTAAACCACATGTTGTATTGTCCAGATTAACACTTGATGGAAGTGGGTTGTGGTCCAGTGGTTTCATCACTTTCATACACCCCTTCTGCCCTTCCCCACCAGGGGTCCAATCTCATTTGTACCAAGTTGTTCCCAAAAGCTATCATTGGACTTGTTTATGTTGAACGTTTTGCAATGTGTTGTTGACTTGTGGGGATAGTCTGGTTTATGTTGCATTTTATTAGAGATAATGAGAGCATATAATAAGATATCAACATAGTTATTCAAAATTTATAAACCATATGACAAGATAATGAGATGTATAAACTTATTAAGTAACCAAATGGGACTCAAGCATGTCAGCAGTTCTGAATTTTCTAAAGTCGCTTTAACATGAATAACATCAATGTCTTTTGGAAATTTTTTAGTGTACATGACTTGTACACAAAACACCCCAGTTGCCTGCACACGGGCAATTCGTATAAAAAGGGGCAGGGTTCCATGTCAAATTGTCTATGTACATAGGCAATGTACACATTTTGTGTACAATTTGTGTATACCAAGAATGGTCCATGTCTTTTAATACCATGTTCATGACTGACGTAATTTACTCGAAAATGCATTTTCTTGCCATTTACATGATTGACGTGCAAACTTATTTGATTAAGATTTGAGTTTTATACATTTGAAAAAGCTAGCTCATCCTCTTGAAATAATTTTATGTTTTCTGTTTTTTAGACTCAACAATATGTTTTCCAGTTTATGCATTTTCAACGAGTCGTTTCTCATTAGACAGAACCTAATACAGATTAATTTTTTTTGGAAAAGGAGAATTAATTATCATTAACAGCTTCATTGTTCAATACATGAGAAATAAAATCAGGTGGTAAATCGCTCCAATAGGTGCAATCAGACATGGAACAAGCGACTTGGGCAAGACCATGAGCCGTCTTGTTCGCTGACCATCAAATATGGGAAAACGAAATCTATGTGCAGTAAGACCGCAACGCTCTAATATCTTCTGCGATGACACCTGCTAAAGAGACGCTTGAGCCATTCTAAATTTTCGATATCGCCTTGATAGCATCTGATTCCACATCAATACTGTCCCACCCTTGATCTTTTGCCCAACTAAGAGCTTCCCGAATCCCAACTAACTCCGCTTCCCACTGAAATAGTTGACCCTGCCAAGGCTTCGCAACTCCTGCCACAAATTCCCCAAATTCATTTCGGATAAACCATCCCAGCCCAATATTGTCCTGTTTGACAACCGCATCAATATTTAATTTCATCCTCCCAGACAATGGCCTTTTCCAAACACCAGCTCCCTTGTAACCGGTTTATTGCGCATCTGAGCCCCCTGCCGCACTGAAACCCAGCTCTCAACAAAAAAAATTGCCTTTACTAAAATCAGTTTGGTACCAACACAAACTCCTTTCCAAATTCTATCAATTCTTTCACACAACAAGCCCCAACAACGCCACACCAGTTTATGTAGGTCTTTCTCTCTCTTGGAATTAAATTCAATCTGAATCAGGTCCATGAAGCTTAACGCAACCCCTGATGTCCAACTCCAGCCAACAGCTCGCCATGCCTCCCACGCAACTGAACAATGAAAAAATAAATGCATTAGTGATTCATCCGCACCTCCACAAAGTCCACACAAACTCAGCACAATCAACTTTCCCCTTCCTCAAATTCTTTGTCGTCAGCAAGAAGTCACAGCACATCTGCCAGAAAAAACTTTTGATTTTGGGGGGGAGCTTCCACCCCCACATCGAAGTCTAACCTGCCCAATCACCGTTGACCATTTCGCCCACCAGGGCTCTGTAATAACTACGAACCGAGAAGCGCCCGAACTCCTCAAACCGCCAGCATACCTTATCGGAAATCCGTCTGAGACTAATTGGGATCCCCCGAATCAATTGAACATCTCGGTGTGTAAAGAAATCCATCAGCAGATCCAAGTCCCATTTTGTTCCATCTGCACTTTGAAGACTCTCCACCGTAGCACCCTCTAGCATTTCCTTGACCCACCCTCCAGTAATAGCCCTTCTTAATGATGTCTTGTGTTTGAAAAATACTCTGCCAAATAAAGGAGGGGTTAGAGCCAAGATTAGCAGATAAAAAATTCCCATCCCAGAAATAACGAGCTTTGAAAACCTTCCCGACAAGAGAATATGATTCTGAAAAAAAAAAACTCCATGCCTGTTTGGCTAGCATAGAAAGATTAAATTCTCGGATTCTCTTAAAGTCCATCCCGCCGATTTTTTGGGGCCGACACAAATCCTCTCATTTACTCCATCTAAGTCCTCTATTTGTTTTTCCTTGCCACCAATACCCATTTAATAGAACTTCAATCTCCTTACATAAATCCTCCGGGAGAAGAAACACATTCATTGCATACGTTGGCATGGCTGGAATAACCGATTTTAAAAGTACCTCCCTACCCGCTTTAGATAAGAACGGGTTATTCCAACTCTGAATACGATTTATCATTCTTTGCTTTAAGTATGATAGAATGGCTCTCTTATTTCTACCGACTAAAGCTGGCAAACCCAGATAGAGTTCCTCGCTACCCGCCAAGCCCACACCCAACATCTCCTTCAATCCCTCTCGACAATCCTCTGAAACATTTGAGCTGAAAAAGATTTTAGATTTATTCAGATTAATAACATGTCCCAAGGCAAGCTCATAGTCATTCAAGGCCTCCTTCACAATAGAAGCCCCCCCATGTGTGGCTTTGAAAAATAACAGGCTATCATTGGCGAAGAACAAATGAGTTATTCTGGGAGCACCCCGAGCAACCGCCACTCCATGCAACTTTCCCTCTATCTCATGTCTTTTTAGAAGAGCACTAATACAGATTAATTGTTTCTCACATGCTGAGGGAGGTTAGGATGAAGTTACAGGGGAGGTGTCCCCTATATGCGGATCTTAAATTTTGTTAATTTAAGCATTTACAATCTTTTTTTGGGAACAAATATTGTATTGTCACTAAATTTTGATGAGCTGCATTGAAATCAATAATGAAGTAAGAGAGGCTATAAGATGTTTTTGCTTGGATTTATTTCAGTCTCATATCATACATAGATAGACAGAACGGATTAGATTTTAACAGACAAAACTATAACAGTTGTAAAATACACATATGCCAAAGTCTATCAAACATGCAGACCAGAAGATTTCAGTTCAAGTAAAAATGTCCTTAATGTGTTTTATATTACTTGTCAAATCCATTGCAATTTCAAATAGCTAAATGTGTTGTTACATATTACTCCTACTATATAGGGGAGAAAATATAAAGATCACATCAACATACTCACTATGGAGCACACCAACATGTTCACTATGGAGCAAGTTGGCATGATGAATGACCGGGTCATTCATTCATTTAAAATAGTTAGAGAATCTTGATCATTCATCAGGTCAACATACTCCGTAGTAAGAACTCGATCCGATGGCACCCTTTTCTGATATCTCTACTTAGATGAAGTCGAGGTGGCCATGGTAGAAGTCCACAATAGAGCTTGCTCAGTCCATGTCCCTTCTCCATGTCCAAGGATGCAATCATATACTCCATGTTATTTAATATTATGATCTTAATTATTAGTTTTGGCGCTTATAAAATACGAGTAAAGATATGTGTTTATGATCCTCGATATCCCTGTGTCCGGGGTTTAAATGATAAGCCCGTTTGAGGATGTTTCGGTCAAAAAATTTGATGAAATCTTGTAAGAATGTTCATCATGAAGCGCAGAACATTCATACAATATTTAATTTAAAAATTCAATTGGGAATTTAATTAAATAAACTATTGAAAAACATAACACTTTATGCATAAACTATAAGGGACGGTATCGACCGATTTAACAAGAAACTGCTGATCAATGTAAGTTGGTTGATACCCTTGCACTGTTGCACAAATGCCAATGGCTAAAGCTTACAAACTACGTAGTAGTACGAGTGTAAACTACAAAGTGATAAAAATTGCCAATAGGTGTAACTCAATTGGTGGATAGAGAGTGACACAAGAGGTAAGTTTCGGGTCCGATTTCCGGACGCATCAAACTTCACGGAGAATAAAAATTTGCATTTCAAGTGCATTGCAAAATTTATGTCAACAAATGTTACTCAGATCTAAACGCAATGTTTCTATGTTATGGCGTTTTTACTTGGACTCTTTTCAGTCTCAGACCAGTCCAGACTAGCAAATTACTGTCCAAGTCAAAGCATCCTTAATGATACATTTTTCATTGAACATATATCTATATTTATATCTATCTTTATAATATAATAAAGCAATCCCTTGGAGAACCCTTTTGAGGAATTATTGACAAGTGGCAACATGATTTGTATGAAAAAATGACATGTGGCAACACAATAAATTAAACAAAAAGCTATTCAACTTCAAAAACTCTATTCTTACATATTCCAATATTAATATATCTTTATATATTTGTTATGATGTTCTATATAAAATGAGGTAAAATTTTGCACTCACTGGTATTACAAAATTCAAATACTCAAAAATAAAAAATAATTAACAATTTTTACCCTCTATTTCTTTTCTCATAAACTCTTGGAGATTCTCCCTTATTTCTTTCCTCCGTCTCATTAATTTAATTTCTCTCACATTTCCTTTTTCTTTCGTTCACTAAGTTTGTGTAGCTCCAAATATTATAATACATGTGTAGTTCTAAATCATTATTACATTATTGTCCCTACTTTTTCATTTCAACATTATCTAGATAAACTCTTTTTAAATAGTTGCACATGTCTCGATCTTAATGAGATTAATGTGATACTCCCTCCGTTCCACTTAAAGGTTCCCACGGGGTTTACGATGTTTGAATGACCATACAGTGAACTGATCTCTGTCATTAATAAAATTATTTTTAGTAAATAAAATTACATATTCAAAAACTACATTAAAAGTTTTATAATACCTGATCAGGAAAAATTAAATTTGATAAAAGTTGAGTACATAAAGTAAAAGGTTAAGAACAATTCACGTTGACCAAAGAAT